ATTAGGAAAGCTAAGGCGATGACTGAGTTTAAGTTAGTCAAGGGAGCCAAGGACAATAAGAAGTCCTTTAGTTATGTAGGGAGCAGAAGTAAAACAACTGGACATGTGGGGCCCCACATGCTTAATACCTCGGGACAGCTGGTACTGGACACTCAGGAAAAAAGTGAACTCCTGAATGCCTACTTTGCTTCGGTATTTCACTGGACCAAGGGGAAAGACAAGCGAGATAAGGATCACAGGGGGCGTTGTGGGAATGATAGCCTTCCCACTGTGGATGCTGAGCTGGTGCAAAACCAACTAGAAAAGCTAGACATTGATAAGTCAGCAGGACTGGATGGACTTCACCCAAGAGTGCTGAAGGAGCTGGCTGAGGTCATCGCAGAACCCCTGACAAAGCTCTTTCAGAAATCGTGGCACACAGAGCGGTCCCTGAGGATTGAACGAGGGCCAAAATTGTGTCCATCTTCAAGAAGGGGAAGAGGGAGGACACAGGCAACTATAGGTCAATCAGCCTAACCTCCATCCCAGGGAAAATCCTGCAAAAACTCATTAAAAAATCTATGTGCGATACGCTCATTGAGGGTAAGATTCTGAATGACAGCCAGCACGGCTTCGCCATGGGTAGGTCGTGTCTTACCAACCTCATCTCCTTTTATGAGCAGGTCTCTCACCACCTGGACATAGGAGAGAAGGTCAACATTATATACCTAGACTTCCAAAAGGTTTTTGATCTAGTATCCCACAATATCCTTGTGGAAAAATTGGAAGATTGTGGGCTTAACTGCTCAACAGTTCAGTGGGTGGAAAACTGGCTGCATGGTAGGACCCAGAGAGTTCGTGTGAACAGATCTGTGTCGTCCTGGTGCGAAGTGGCCAGTGGTGTCCCTCAGGGGTCCATGCTTGGACCGGTGCTTTTCAACATCTTTATCGATGATTTGGATGCAGGAGTGAAAAGCTCACTGGCCAAGTTTGAGGATGACACCAAGTTATGGAAGAGTGTGGTCGTGCCAGAAGATAGGTTGCAGATACAGGCAGACCTGGACAGGCTGGAGAGTTGGGCAGACCAGAACCAGGTGAAGTTTAACACTTTCAAGTGTAAGGTGCTCCATCTGGGGGCAAGCAACCTTCAACATACATACAGGCTCGGTGGCGACAATTTGACTTGCACCACAGCCGAAAGGGACCTGGGGTAGTGATCAACCATAGCATGAACATGAGCAGGCAGTGCGATGCTGTGGCCAGCAGGGCAAACAACATGCTGGCGTGCATTAACTGTTGCATCTCATGTAAAACTAAGGAAGTGATACTCCCGCACTGGTGAGACTGCAGCTGAAGTACTATGTCCAGGTCTGGACATAGTCCTTCAACAAGGACGTGGAAAAACTTGAGAGGGTCCAGAGAAGAGCCACTCATATGATCAGGGACTTGCAAGACAAACCATATGAGGAAAGGCTGAGGGACCTGGGACTCTTCAGCCTACAGAAGAGGAGACTTGGTCGCAGCTTACAGCTATATCAGGGGAGTACATCAAAAACTCAGTGAACAACTGTTCACCAGGGCACCCCTGGGGAAGACCAGGAGCAATGGATACGAACCCCTGGAAGGCCACTTCAAGCTCAATTCAAGGAAAAACTCCTTCACAGTCAGGGTGTTCAGACTGTGCAATAGACTCCCTGCAGAGGTGGTGTACTCCCCTACCCTGGAAATCTTCACAAGGAGACTGGACAGTCACCTCGCTGGGGTCACTTGACCCCCGTTGTCTTTTTCTGCCTAGTGCAGGGAGACTGGACCCGATGATCTACAAGGTTCCTTCCAGCCCCGGACCATCTATGAATCTATGAACCTGGCTCTGAAAGAGTTACCTCAGGTACCAAAAGCAGTACAGCCACATTGCCCCATCCAAGCTAATACACCCTGCTTTTTACCTGTAATTAGGCCGATGAAACACCAAACCGACATAGCTGTATTGCATCCAGTACCTGAGCTAGCTCATTCAAAGCTGGATTCCATATTTCTCCATGACAATGCACTGTACTATCCAGAGCACAGTAATTTTGGCTCAAGTATTTCATCCACTAAGAGGATATGGAGTCTTGAACCTCAAGCTTAGTATGTCACAAACTCTTTAGGAGTTTGCGTTACCTGCTTAGGTTACCAAAGTTTCCGATCTAGGTGTGTTTTGGAGCTCTGCAAATTGCATCTGTAAGTCTTCTCCTTTTCTATTTTGCAATGTGTGGCAATTTGCTGATTGGGACTCTCTGCGTCTGGCTGCGGCACACCACAGCAGTGGATTATTTAAATCCGGAAGACATGCACACTGCTACCCAAGACATAATCCTGCATCCCGGAGCTTATGATGTTGATAACAGAGACAGACCCACATTAGGCCCCCATCTATAAGGACTGTACAAACACATGGTGAATAGCAGCCGCTGCCTCCAAGAGTTCACAGTCTAGAAAATGAGACATAAAGAGGCAGATGGGAAACAAAAGCTGGGCTGTGGAAAAACATAGATCAGATGGGGTTATGTTAAGAATAGTAAGCAAAAAAACCCTTCATTGCCCATCACTTGTGATGGACCTCTTGCATTCAGAAGCTTGTCTAACGGTATCCAAACTGTGTAGTTATTCCAATAAAATATATTTCCCAAAGACAACCACACATTGAGAAGGGCATGCTCTTCATTGGAGAAACAGTATGAAATGCAGCAAGGCCAGTAGGTCTCAAAAACCGGAATTCAGCCTGATATTTGATTACTGGCATTTTCTTTGCTTGGTATGCAAAATAACAGTCGGGTTGACCAAAGGAGATAAGGTTGAATCTTGTGCCAATTCGATAGACTCTTACAAAGCTATGTTCTGTTGTACGGATGCAAAGATCTGATAATGATTTGCAAGTAATCTTCCAAAACGTGGGAAGGGAGAGCAGGACTTGGCAGGAGCTGCAGCCTACTTTGCTAATTATTATCCACTTTGACACTCTCGAAGGGAAGAACATTTATTTGCTGGGGCCAATTGAGAAGAGAAGTGTATGTGGAAGGAAATGTGTCAGTTTTTATGAAGCTGACACGACCTGGAAGATTTTGCAGAAACAGTTCAGGATAAACTGGATGAACTCTTAAAAGATTGTCTCTCACCTAGGGATCAAAGGCCTTTTCAGCAACGTTTTTAGAAAAGTGTCGTCTGGAAAGCTGCTTGCTCTGTCTGAGGATGTCTCTCAAGCTTGACTGAGGGATGAGACAGGACCTGAAGACCCAGGAGCAACCTGTGGAGAGTCTGTAGGGAATAGCTCCCAGTGGTAGAGCATGGCAGTGGGTCTTGGAGGTCTTGGAGCTGTTGGCCAAGTGCTGTAGGAGAAGTGGGGAAAAGCACGGGGGGGGGGTTGGCTGCATGGCATGGGCTGGAGAGGGCAAACAAGCTGGGCCTAGCTGCATGCCACCAAAGATCAAATCTGAGTAATTCATGGGCCATATCCAGCCCACAGACTGTAGGTTGCCCACCCCTGGCTTACACTATGTAGAGCAATAGGATTGCAATTGTATTCAGCAATTTGGACTTCCTTACTTAACTGGCCTTAACTTTTACCTTTAAATCCAAACTCAGTGCTCAATCCTGAAATAAAACCCACACAAAAAATCAACAAAATGGTATTTTTTAATGAACAAGGAAAAAAAAATCAAAAACAAACAACACCCACATACAATCCACAGGGAAGCTATTATTTTGTTAGTTTGTTTTTTTAATAATGTGCATCAGACTCATAACTTCCCTTCAGCCCCCCCAAATAGGAAAAAGCTCCCTCAGGGCTGACTAGGACAACAAAGGCATCTCTCATTAGGCTGAGAGATAGGCAAACACTTGCACACTGTATAATATTAATTAATATCCCTCCTGCTCCCCTGATAAGCTTTTAGATAGCAAAAGCAATGTTGATTTTTCTGACTGTTAACAAGATTTTT